AGAAACAATAGAAAACTGGGGAAAAAAGTCTTTTAATTCAGATTTTTGGTGTGTGAATCCAATCAAATGCATATCAAATCGGCTTTCAAATGAACGTCTATTTCAGATGTCCTGGAAAGTTCTCATGATCTGCAGTACTAAAAAAGTAAATATTAAATAATAAAAGAACAAGAAGAGATATGGAACATGAATCTACTGAGGGAAAGTATTAGATGCTTCCTCTAAATTTCATTTAAGCTCAGTGGCTTGTATAGAATCCAGTTTAGAAATAATCTAATAAACTGAAGATGCGACTGATGCTACCGTACAACTACAGTTTTCAAAATACTGAGCAAACACTGGAAAATTTATTAAATGGTATATAAATGTTTCCATATAAATGATCTGGTTTCATATAAAAGCTTCCACATAAATGGCTTTTTCCATAAAAAATGTTGAGGGGAGACAGAAGTTCAACCCAGATCTTTAAAGGAGAGAGGAAGTTACATACGTAGCCTTAAGATCTGGGCAGTGGCCATTAGGCAGAGTTGAACTAGTTCGGGGAAAATACTAATGGAGAGTGATTTGAAGCTGGGTCTAAAATGTTCAGAAAGACAAGACCATGCTTCTAAAGGTGAGCTGTAATATTGACCTGCGTCAACGTTAATATGATGAAGTTTCAATTTATTAAAGACAAGAAAAGCATATGCTCTATTAATACAGATATTGATTATATCTTTAAAAACAGGAGTTCAGATATCAATCCACATACAAAGTTATATTCCCAGAATAAGTTCAGAAGATAGAAAAAGGAATCGTTTGAACTGATAATCAGTGCTTAGCCTCCTAGAGCAAGCTGCTTTAAGGGAGAAATAATTTAGGTTGAGTAAAAAAAAAAAAAGGTACATAGGGTTCCCAGATAAACCAGCCACACTTGGTTTCCAGCCCTACTGAGATTACAGGAGGTTCCTGTAATTGAGTTCCTTTTGGGAAAAAATAACATAGCCAAAAACTGCCCGCCCCCCCCTACACGTGTCTTTAAAGAATGCAT